AAATTTAGTAAAATATCTAACCTTTAGTTTTACTAGCTTTTTATTAAGATTTTGATATAGTTTTGCATTTTTATAAGCTTTGATATAGTTTTATCTTTTCTAGAGTTTTACAGTTTTTTTAATATAATTTTGCTAAATTTTACCTTTTATCATTTAAATAACTTGCAAACCTCTAAGTTTTACCTAGTAATCTTAATCACAGAAAATTGAAAAATCATAAAAACTATAATTAAATAATATAATTCATTTAAAAATTATTATTTAAGCTTTTTATTATTCAATTTAAATAATTTTTAATTTTTAAAGAAAGTATATATAGCTCTTTCTAATAAAAATAAAATTGTTTAATCTAATATATTAATCTATAACTATAATTATTTCATAATTTTATTATAATAATTAATAAAACAATATAAAATATTCTATAAAACTTGTAATAAAGTAAATAAGAATTAAAATTACAATAATAAAATGATTTTTTTAGGATTTTTCAATGCTATTAAGAATAAATATAAAAGATGTGTTAGTTTATTTTTTTTAGAAGTTATAAGAATTATTTTCTACCATTTCACTAAATAACCTTTCTAATATTTAAATTAAATTATTTTATAATTTTACTATTTTACTTAACATTTTCAAAAAAAACAATTCCTTTCAAAAAAATTAATTCTTGATAGATTTCAATATTGCAAAATCAAAATCATAATATATATTATCATATATAAATCAGAATATTAATCAAAATTCATATTTATCATTTAAATTTAATAATAAGTCATTAATTACTTCAGAGAAAACTATACTCTATATATGAAAATATATTACACAATTTATTAAAACTAATTTTTATATAGTTTAAAGTACTTTTTTAAAAATCTGTATAACTAATCTTTCTATATAACATGCATAAAGATACTTAAGCAAATTTAAAGCTTTTGCATTATATAATAATATTTCTTAAATCCATTTAAATTTAACAACTTTGTATATTAATTAATATGATTAAAAAGAAAGTTATATAGAATATTAAACTATTAAGTCAATTAGATTCTACTTGTTAAATAGAAATTAATAGAAAAAATAAGAAAGAAGATTTAGCAAAAGTAACATAAAAGAAAAAAATAATCTTATGTAATTCCTATTATATATATTTTATGAATAATCCTTTAAGAAGACGATCTAAGTAAATAAGAATCACAGGTAAAGAGGTAAGTATGTTTAGTACAAAGCTGAAGTTATCAATATGATAGTAATAATTCTTTATGAAAGAGAATACATAAAGAAAAAGATTTTATTTATAAATTTAATGAAATACGTAAATTACCTGAAGAAAGTGAACTTAGTTTAAAGATAAATAGTATTAGTTTCTTTATACAATCCATTATTTGATTACTAAGTTCAGATAGTTGAGTTGTTAAATAAAGTTATTCAAAAATAATTTTTAAGCTAACTGTTATTTACTTGCTTCATTAAATAATATAAAAATTAATTTTTTTAAGTTTAATCTCATATATTACTTAGATTTAACAGGAATAAGTAATAAAGGTTTAAATATAATAACAAATTTTATTATTATTATAACATCAAGAATAATAGATTATAAAAAAAAAAATCTGATGCACATTATCACTATAGAATTCTTCAATTTATATTAATTACGTTTTTAAGTCTCTACTTGAGATTACTAGTTGCAGTTTACTGCAATTAAAATATTAAGATTTGCCTAACTCTTAACTTTACTAATCTACGTATTTAACTTAAATAAATCTATCAAGTATAAAGACTTGAAAGACAAAGTTACAAACAATTTAATTAAAGAATTCAGATGATAAACTCAATTATAAATAATATATAGAGATTATGTCAGACTATATAAAGATACAAAAAGGTAAAAAGGTATAAGTTTTAATTGATTTTTTTATAAATATTAAACTTGTATTTACAAAAGAATTTTCAAATCTGCAAAAGAGTTAAATTATAATATAAGTAAAAAGTCTATCAATTTATACAAAATTTCTTTATTACACTAACTATTTACTATTCTATAAATTAACTAATTTGATAAATAAAATATAAATATACTAAAAATAATAAAAATAAGTAAAATAATAAAAAATAAAATATTAAAAATAAATATAAAATTGAATATTTCTAGACTTTGTTTAATTTGTGAAATTAGGATTATTATTAGTATTTGAAAAATTTGTAGAATATGTAGATCTTCTATATTTTTAAAATTCGTAAAATTTTCAGTATTTTTAGAATTTTAGATTAAGAGATCATTATATTGCATCATCTATGTGATTTCATTATTATTAGTCAATTGCTTTATTAATATTATGGGAAATATGTGTAAAATACTCTTAAAAGTATTTTAAAGAATGCATATTAATGATTATTATAATATTTACATTTAACAATAATCTGATATCACTAATATTTCCTGAATAATATATATGATAACAATCTTAATAAATCTATATCTATTATAGTAATACCATATAATAGAATATTTAATCTAAAAATTATAGATAGTAAATTAGTTATAAGATATTTTGACAGGTGGTTTATTATAAATCTTAATATTTTTTTATAATTGTATGTGAGATTTAGTCAGAAAGAATGTTCTGATAAAGAGATTATAGATAGATTAACATTATATAGTTACAATAATAAGTTAGTAAAGAAAAGAAGCAAATGGTATATACAGAATTTCATTCTTTTTGATTTTATTGAAAATAACTTAAAAGATATAGAAGGATATAAATATATTCACATTATGCATGATTAAGAGCAAATGTAAGAATACTTTTTTTCAATATGCTATTCCTATTGTTGCTAATTAGCTTAATCAACTCTTCATTTAGAAAGCTATTATACAATATATTCTTATTAACAATAAAACTATCTCTCAATTTATTACATCATTTTTGCCAATTATGGATCCTTTTCATATACTGTATCATGAATACTTGTAAACTTGTTTTTTTGAAAAACTCACATTTTTATTTAATAATATTTATAAAAGTATATTTAAAATATGTAAGGATCTTAATAAGAAGTTATAACTATAAAGAATTGACTTAATTCTTTATATTACATATATAACATGATCTAAAATAGCTGATTCTATTATTTAAAGTTTGGTTATTTATGTAAAAATATTGAATTTTTATATCTAACAGATCTTTTAAGTAATTTAATTTCTCTAGTTCTCAATGTTTATGCAATATATTATTGAAAAGATGATTGATCAGCTTATGAAGAAACTTGTATATATTGCTAGAGTGATCTTTTTCTTTGGTTTAATTGAAAAAATTATAATATGCTTCTTTAATATTTTTTTCTAACATTTTTTATTAGATAAAAACTGATCATCCTATTATTTATATGTTTATTAACTATCTTGTTTCTTTAAATAATTATTCTATAGAATTTGTTTATAGTATTATTTAATGATATATTGCTAAATTCTTTATAGCTTAATAATTGTAAAAGAAAATACATTTTATTTTTCAGCAGCAACAGGATAATTCTTTTTAATAATATTTTGTGCATTCTGTAAAGTATTCATATACACTAAAGCAATTGCATATACTTTTTCAAAAGTGTATTATATGGCTTTTGAAAATATTTACAAAAATATATTAAGCATATAATCAGTAACCTTGATTATTAAATCTTCATCTAATGATTAATATATATAAAATTATCTTCATTGAATTTTAAGTAACTGATTATTATCTTCTAAGGGATTTTATTACTTTTAAAAAACCAAATACTTCTATTTTATATAACTTTATCTATTATAATCATACTTATAATTTACTTAATATAACATTCTAGCATGTGAACATAGTTACCATAGTTATTATTTATAAAAATGTTAATTTAATGTTTTTTATATTTAGATTATCTACAGAATGAAATCAAAAAAAATGTTGATGCATTAATAACAAATTTGATAAAAAAATAGTTGAAAATGAGTCTATTAATGATGATAATAAAAATATAATTGAAAGAGCGACAGATGATATTGCAATAATGGTAAATCAATTGAAATGTGTAAAAAAAAAATTTTTAGATTTGTAAATTTTATTTACATATATAAATTACTTATAATAAATATATAGAAATGCTATAAATTTTTTTATATATACAAATAAATTGCAATAAATAAATAAATATATGAAGTTTTAACACATATTTGATTTTGGTCGCCATTTAATTTTATTAGAAATTAAGCATAAAGAGATCGGTTTAAATTTAGAAATTTGTGTAACTAGATGACGTTCTCAATTTGATTGGTCAGTTTTCATGTGACGATAACAAAATTTCATGATTTTATGGCATCCTTAAAATGTACCCCGGGTTCAGGATATTATCCTAGACCGCAACTGTACTTATCACGTGATAAGTACTTTAAAAATATTTACCGGAGTCTAGGTTAAATTTTCCCATGATTTTATTAGTAACGATCAGAATCATGTGACTTTGAAGTTATCAAACTGATCCTGTGCGACAATTGCCCCTTATATATATAACACAAAATGTCGCGACAATCGATTTTTGTTTGTCTTTCAAACTTTTAAACAAGTTAAGTAATTATATTTCCTTTCTCCTTGTAACCAATAGTTTTGTTAAGCAAGAAGGAAGCGCCTGCGATAGAGGGAGTCTGTCGGAAGCCAGCAATGGCGAGTCATCATCAAGTCGGTGGCCGCCTTACATGAATGACAACCCATTTTAACGATTACTTCATTCCTTTATTCAACAAGATACTTAATTATATTCACTTTACTCTAGGTTGATAATGTCTAAGAATATAACTCGAAAAAAAGCCAATATCAGCTGGATGTTAGATTGTCCCGATCCATCCCCGATTTCATTCTTCGAAATATATTTCCAACTCATAGGAGCCGAGCAACTGAAAAATATCGAATATACTTAATTTGGCTTTTAATGAAGCTGATAATCAGGAAGTGAAGGATAAACTCAAAAAAATGAAAGAAACAATAGATGTATGTATATGGGTGGTATTCTTTTAAGGTGCTTTTGTCATACTGTAAAAAATTATTTCTAACTCTCCCTTCTTAATAGGAAGCGAGGATACTAAAGGATTGGGAAACGTGGATGCAAGAAAAAGCAGCAGTATGTTCAGTTATTTTACTTACTTACTTTAGATAGTTTGATTTGACGTTGATAAAAATTCGTAAACAGATTTTAATTCGCCGATCTGTCCGCCGTACGAATATCGCTCTCCATAAGGAAATTAACACGTTAGCAATAAACGGGGTAAATCATACTCTTCCAAAACTATTAAAGGGGTTGCAATGGGTATGCTTAAATTTTTATAAATTTTTACTATAGAATACAAAAGGAACTGGAGAACATCATGAAGAACCATATTCTGATCTTGATTCGAGTGAAGAGGAACGAGATGAAGTTGAAGATTTTTTCATGGGCAAGAGGGATGATGATAATGGTAACACCGATGTTAGTGACAGTGGATTTCTAGAGCGCATAAAAGAATGCCCATTGACTTGTCATCAGCATGGATCCTCAGTAGCGGTACAAATGTTGGAGAAAAATTGGAAAATTACGTCAAGTCGATTCCCGAAGCACAGAAATGCGTGAAGCAAGTTTACTGAATTGCAAGAGGTCATGAACAATATAGATGTTAATGATGATTCCGTTAATCCCAGAACTTTTCTTTTCATTTATAATCTCGCATATTGGAATATCCTCGACTTGAGTGATAATTCCCAAGTGAAATATCTCTTTTCGATGAATGACTGGGAAGAAATGATTGGAAGCTTCAATAATGAAGTAAAATTGGTCGAATCGGATATTTCGGATGTAGTTGTGTATTTTTTTGAAGTTGAAAAGGTAAGTGAAAAGAAAATATTTATCTTGTTATTGCACTTTCAAAATATTTCTCTGATTCATACAATTGTAGGCCACAAAAAAAAGATGAAAAAGATATAGTCAATACGATCGATAGTCTAACTCCAGATATCATCGAAAAGAATCAAAACGTAAAGCTTAGCGACGCGGAAATAGATATCATTAGTATTTTAAGACGTGCTGTCGTTACATAGTAAGTGAAACAATATATGTAATATTTATTATTAATTACTTAACATCTTTTTTTTTACGACCAATTCTTGCACACATAGTGGCGAGAATCTGGAAAGAATTGAACCTCCTGTTTCCGAGGCGGACTTCGATACTTCCTTTCCAAATATGTTTGCGAAACGATTTTTAGATAAAACCAACTAAGGATGGATGTGTAAGTATAGACAAGCAATATGGCAAGTCTGATCTCATTCAAACTTTTTCCGCATTTCTTATAATTATAGTGGGGAAATAGCTTGTTGGGTCTCGGCTCATCGTTGATACGAAGGTCGTTCTGTTGTTCTCAGAGCTCGTACTGGACAAAAGTGCGATTTTAGAGGAATCTTAAAAAGGAGTATAAATAGGCTTGAGGCTTTAATAGGTCTCAGAAGCGGTGGACTCCCAGAATCTCATCAAAAAAAAATTTACGTAGATAAAATCGATCTTTGCGTAGCAATGCGAGACGTTTTATATATATTTATTAAAGAAAATTCAAATCACCTGGATCTGATGTTTCTAGCACTTATGTTCTTGGAATACATTCGTGGGGTAATTAAGCAGAGGATAATTGTAGTAATGAAATTTTAGAAATTGTAATGACTAATATTTTTCTTTATTCCTTGCTAAGGGTGGGTTCATGAAATATATGGAATTGATTGTAAAGCAACGAATTTGCTACGGCTTGGAATACTAAACCATGCAAGGATGCCTAACACTTTAAAAACACTATCAATTCTCGAAAGTTTTTATGTACTATTTACGGATTTGCAGGTATTATACTATGCTTATCATTGTTATTGTTAATAATATTTAGCAATTCACTATTATGTTCATCTCATTTCAGATGACGTTGAATACTATTTGTGAACACACAAATAATATCTCACTTGCACATTCACGTGCACACAGAAATCGAAAAAGAAAAAATTCAGAACAAGTTAGTGAGAAAGCAAAAGTATGAATCAATAATTAGGATATAATAGATATAGAAATAATGTAACTTATCATGGGCTACACTCCAAAACTTGTAATGGTTATTATAAAAAATAAAAATTATCTTGTTGCAATACCGTGATTAGGCTAAAGATATTTAGTAGAATACTTTTTTACAAAGTTCTATTTAAGGATTATAGTGATACAAAAAAAAATATATAATATTTATTTATTAACTAAATCTTAATTAACCCATCCGTGATGCAAATATCAATCATTGTCACGTGTCATTTATTACGCTTTAAAATTATCGTAATACCGTTAATTGGTATTTTAATTCTCCCTTTTTTAAATTTTTTTTATTTTCTGACATGTCTTGTATTATAATTAAATCATGACGAGTCAAGGTATAAACATCGATTCATTTAATAAATTTATAAAGAAAAATTTTTAATTTTAGCTTTGGCTAAAACATCAACAGACCTCGGAAAGGGTCATAATCATAATGCTCAAGAACATAAACAACAGCCGATAACCGAACAGAATGTCGTTTCAGCACTTTCTTCGGTAGAAACAACCATTTGCGGAGCAGTTGCGGGAATGGTATCGAGGTATGTCAATTAACATTTGTGATTCAAAGGCAATGTACATTATATTTAACCTAATGATTATTTACTTTTACTATGATATTGATAGATTTGTTGCTTCTCCATTAGATGTTGTGAAAATTCGTTTACAGGTACGTTTAATTTTATTTTTTTTTCCCATGGATAGCTTTCTAAGTGCAATTAATTATTAGCTTCAACCGGGAAGACCAATTAATCCTATAATGTTAGGAAAATTGTCAAACCAGTCTACTTATAATTCTAACAGTGTTGCAAGGAAGTATAATGGAATGTTTCACGCAATTAAATTAATTGTTCGAGAAGAAGGCATTCGGGTAAATTAGCTATATTTTTTATTAAATTTTTATTTTTTCTAAATGTTTAATCTAAATTCTAATTGTTTGTAGGGATTATGGAAGGGTAATCTTGCTGCAGAATATTTATATTTGACATACGGTGCTATTCAATTTTTAACTTATCAACGAATGCAAAATTTTTTCAACCATTTTTATCTGAACGAACATGGGAAACCTATCTTAAATGTAACATTACAACCGTTTTTCAGTGGAGCTATATGTGGAACAACTGCAACTGTCGTTACATATCCTTTCGATCTGTTAAGGACACGTTTAGCAGCACAGGGTGAAAAGAGGGTAATGTCAAATTTTTTAATTATGAGAGAAAATGAAATTATTCAATTCCATATATATATATATTTTTTTTTTAAAAAAAGAAATTTTGTATTATAGACATATACAGGATTAAATCATGCGGTACAGCAAATTTATACAAAGGAGGGATATCGTGGGTTCTATAGAGGAGTTACTGCGTCGGTTGTCCAAATTATTCCTTATATGGGATTAATGTTTGGAAGTTATGAATTCTTAAAAAAATCATTTAGAAAGATGGAGGTAAATTAAGAATGTTGAACTTCGAGCAATTTTTTTTTTTTTTTTTTGACAAATTTTTTATTACCGCTTTTTATAAAACCAGGATAAGAATATTTGGTTTCATAATTTAAGAGGTGCAGAAGATTTACTCAGCGGAGCAACTTCGGGAATAGTGAGCAAAGCTGGTGTATTTCCACTCGATTTAATAAGGAAAAGATTACAAGTACAAGGTCCAAATAGAACAAATTATGTTATATCAAATGTCCCATTATATTCTACTTCCATTGTTGTTTGTATTAGACAAATATTAAAACATGATGGATTTTTTGGTTTATATAAAGGTCTTACACCTGCTTTAATTAAATCTGCTCCTGTTAGTGCCGTGACGTTTTTTGTTTATGGACAAACAAAAAAGCTTATAGAAAAATTGCATTCTCCAAAAGATATATGATTTTGTGATGAATTATGAGTTTGGAGAATAATAATTTGGACATTAGATATATATATATTTTAAATTTAACGTCAATTTAAATAATTTAATGATTTAATAAAATTTACTTGACGCGTGCGTCATATTTTTATTCAAGACGCATTATTATCAAATTGACTAATAAAACCTTAATAATAAAATATTCAATTGATTTTATCAAGCGAACTTGTATATTTAAAATATCAATATGTGAAATATATTTCCTCAGAGAAAACATTTTTTAGGAATCCTTAACGTTGAGCACTCTTTAACAATTACAATTTGACGCGTTTTTTTCGAATTAGGAATAAAGGCTATTAATGTAAAACTCCATTATTTATAAGATTTTCGAATTATGAAAATAAAATTATTACCGTAAACAGCTCCCCCTATAGTATAGTACCCTCCCCAAAATTTCAATGCAAAAGACCCGGGTACTATACATCAGGATTTTAAAAAATTCAGGAAAATTTGTATTGTACCCGGGTATAATATATCGATCGAAAATTTTTTTTATAAATTGTAAATATGATATGAAAATATCAAATTTATTATTATTAATTAATTAATAATAAAATCAAAAAAAAATACATCAAATTATTCAGTAAATTCATTTATATCATCAAATTTTATATTATCATCATTGACTTCTTCACTTTGACTTTCTTCTTCTTCATCAATATAAATTGTTTGCCTAGCTTTTTTCGTTTTATTTTTTAATATATCATAATCAAATATTAAATTATCTTCACTACAACATTTAAATGATTTTTTAATCAAATCAATATTAATATTATCCCATGCTCTTTTTACCCAACTAGCAACAGTAGCATATAAAGGTTTTTTAATTCTTCTAGAAGGTGTTAATTCTTTAACTTCAGAGCTCAACTCATCTAATAATTATAATATTGATGTAAGTTTGCTTTGAAACTTTTATTAATAGCCACATTTAATAGTTGTAATTTACTTGTTAGTTCACCAGGAATAACTGCAATATTTGTTTGTTTTTTATTAAATCTATTTTTTACTGAATCTACAAGATGCTCACAAAAAGAATTTAAAATTAATAAAGATCTTGAATTGCCTAAAAAATTTCACCTGGTATATATATTCTCAATCTACCAAAGCATTTCTTGTTCATTACACTACCCTTTCTCATTTACACAAATAAAAATTCCTTCAGGAATGATTCTCTTAAATATTTTTAAGTTTGAAAATACAAACTGCTGGTAATTTTATACTATTAGTCATACATATTAATATAACTATAAAGTTTGTTTTTTCATGACCTGTTGTTTGTATATTAATAGTTGAAATTCTGTGTTGATCTAAAATATACATTGTTAACGTTACTCTTTCTGTCAAATAAATTAACTATGATTTGAAGTCAGGGAGACAATAGCTATGACTTAAATCCAATCAACTTGACACGCTATTTATTAGAGTTTATTTAGTTAATAAGAAATAAATTATAAGTTTTAAGTTTGCAAAATGTTAAATGTGTTTATTATTGTTATTAAATGTATATTGAATACAATATTAAAAACTTGTTAGAATCTTGTTGGAATCTGTCCTTTTTCCAAGGCATTTTCATGCCCTTTATAAAGGAAAATTACAATTAAGAAAATCTATAATAAATATGATACTACTGACAATAATAACAGAACTAATAAATATACTAATTATATTAGATATGATATAAATGATTAAAGCTTCAAATAGTTCAGTTCAGTCTGGATTAGATATCAATCTGTATTTGAACTGAAAATTTCAGTTCAGTTCAGTTCAGATTATTAATCTTAAAAATGCCAATCTGAATCTGAACTGAACCGCAGACCGGTAAAAATCTGAACTGAACCAGAATTTTTAGATTAATCTGAAATTACGGTTCGATTATATAAGAAATCTGCAATTTATATGTGAAACTCTAGGAGAATCACAAAAAATCGCGAATTTCTCTTCGAGGTTTGCAAAATTCGAAAAGAAATCGCAATTTTTTGCGACTCTCGTGATAATTTTGCAAAATTCTAAGAGATATCGCAAAAAATTGTGATTCTTTAAGGTTTTCGCAATTTTTTTGCAAAATTCGAAGAGAAACCGCAAAAAATTGCGATTCTCTAAGAGTTTCGCTAAATTTTTGCGATCTTCTTAAAGAATTCGCAAATTTTGCGATCCTTTAAGAGTTTCATATATAATCGAACTGAACTTTCAAATTAATCTGAAATTATCAGTTCAGTTTAGATTTTTTTCAGTTTGGATTAGAATTATAATCTGAAAAAAATCTGAACTGAACCAAAAATTTTCAGATTGATTTTTATACAATTTGAAACTGATCTGAACTGAACTGATCTGAAAAATCTTTAGATTAATCTATACCGTTCAGAGCTTTATAAATGATAATAATGATATAAATAATAGAAATATAATAAATAATATATATGTTCTATTTGGAAAATATGGCAGATTTGGCAGATCTAGCATATATGTCATATTTGACAGATTCATTAATTTTTGCCAGTTTTAACATGAAACTGAAATTAAAATAGTCAAAATAATTATAAGGGTTAAAATGGTCGAAATTGATTTTGACTATTTATTAAAAATTTGAAAAGTCAAAATTAATTATAAGGGTTGAAATCAATTGTAAGGGTTAAAATTAATTACAAGAGTCAAAATCAATTATAAAAGTTGAAATATATAAAGCTAGTCAGAATTACAATCAGAGGTATCACAAAAATCCTAAAAAGGAAATTTTATTATTGATCATTTAATTCAGGCTGAAATAATATGATAGAGATAGATAGAGTTCCGAAAATGATTCGCATAAACTTGCATATTTGACTCGCATGATTGTGTATAATTGTAAATTTTAGTTACACATAATAAATAAGTACTTTAAATTAAAGGTATGTAGGATAATTTTGACTTGAAACTCAACTCGACTTGACTCATTAGGAACACTAGAGATGGAATAGGTAAATTTTACTAGAATTAAGCGAAATAAATGATTTTTGCCAGAATTAATATATTGAAATAAATAGATTTGATCAGAATTAATAGAATTAATAAAAAATCAGTCTAAACTGGATATAGCAAGATGTGAAGCAAGTTAATCATCACAAACAAAACTCTTTTGTATTAGATTTTGTTTAAAAATTTTTATATTAAAAACATATTTATTCAAAGGTAACCATAGCTTAGCCTGCAAACAAAAATAAAAACTCCTCCTTTTAAAAATTTTCCTCCTTTTATTTCTCATACCCTTAATCAAAAAATATTTCATTATTAATTCAAATGGTGATATTTTTTTGTTAAAATATTTTTTTTGCCACTTCTCTTGAATATTTTTCTTATTTGTTTCTTTTTTACCTACAAAAAGTGAGTATTAAGGGGTATCTGAAATGACAATCATGATCGATACAACTTTAGATATAAATAAATCTCACATAATGACTATTAAATTACTTTTATAAACAACAACATTCTTTTAAAGATCTATAATATCATAAGAATTCGCTGATCATAGTGAAATTTTTCTAGAATATTGTGACTGAGTGTTTTAATACTTAAAAGTTTGAAAATACTAAAGAGTTTTTGAAGGAATTTAGTATTTTAAATGCTTCTGTTATAAGAGATCACTGTAACCAGGAATTAACTAGACATTTTAGCTAAGAATTTATTAGAGTTAGTTGTTTTTTTTAATCTATTTTTTTTCAAAAACTAATCTTAGGTTCATTTGTTCTAGAGGATGTTAAATTTTTTATTAGTTAAGAAATTAGTAATTAGTTAAAGGAAAAGTATTATAATATTGATAATTTTGCTTACTTTCTTTGTTAACAGGTTGCTTATTAAAAATAGTTTTAGTGAGCTTCTTGAAGAGATCGCTAGTGATTGGTTAATTCAAATAGGCTTAAAATAGAGTCACAAGAGTAGCTGTAGTTTTAGTTTAGATTTCTTATTTGTTATCTTACTTCTTATTTTAATAATTAGTATTATATTTAAAATGATAAATTTTTATAATAAAACTTATAGCAGTACCACATCGTTAAAAGTCAAAAAAAAGTAAGTTAATCATCTTTTACAAAAAACTATAGCTTCTTATTCATTACTGTTTATGTTACATAATATGTGGCTATGCAAATCATTTTCTATTTTGGTGATACCTATTCTACAAAATTTATTTTTTGGTAATTTTTATTGTTACATAAAAAAATATTGTGTAATATTGGATTTCAAATATAGTATTAATTTTCATATTAGAATATGATTAATATTTCTGACTGTCACAATTAATTTTGACCCTTATAATGTAATTTGACTCTTGTAATTAATTTTGATTTTTAATTTTAGCTATGACCTTAAAGTCAAAATATTTTAACTTTTGTATTTTAATTTCAGTTTCATGTATAATCCAAAGTAGTTAAATAAGGTAAATCAAAAGTAATAGAAGTCTCATCCATATTTTCAATATATTTCAATGAATAATTATGTTACATGAATCTATATAAGTCAAAAGATAAAATTTTTTGTTACTTTTCTAAAAGATCATTAGGAAGATATTAAGCAACATGAGTTCTTCTTATTGTAACAAAGTTATATCTTTTCATAAATCTTTCAACCATAATTCTAAAAACTTAAATTCTTTAATATTTATATAAAGATTCATCTATCTTCTTTCTTTAGCAAAAGATTTTAATTTTCTAATTACCATATTTTGTGTAATAGCTTTTACAGCTTTTTATAAGTCAATTACTTATAAAGAAAATACTTTTTCAAGTTCTGAAAAGGCTGCACTTTTACCTTTATATAATATATGATATTGCATTTTTAAGTTTAACTTTTTAGTTTATCTAATTTCAGATTTGCTTTGATACTATTTGCTGTTAGACATTTATTTTTAAATTATTCTGCATGTTTTACTTTAAGTAACTTTTCTCTAGCATATTACTATCTTCTTAGTTTATTTATAATTCTTGTTCTTCTAATAAAAGGTTTATTTTGATAAATAATCATATTTTTTTAAAAAAATAAAGTAAAAAAAGAAAAGTTAAAAAGTTATCAAATATAAAAGATATAAAAAAGAGAAAGATTTTTTAAATACGTTTTATCATAGATTATTTTAACAAAATTAAAATGATTTGTAGATTGTATAAAAACTTATTAAATCATTAAAATATTAAAATATATTTAATATATTTTTAAAAAATTTTTTAAAAAAGTTTTATTTGTTAAAATCATGATAAGTATTAAATTTATTGGTTAATTAAATTTTATAGATAAATCTTATATAATAATATCATTGTAATATAATACTTTTCTCTTGACTAAAGTACCCTTTATAATATAGTATCGCTTAATTTCATGAATTTGTAAAATACTTAAATACTTAAGTTAGCTGTTTATAGTAGTCTAAAGTATTAGTAAATGATTATATAAGTTTATACACTTTGATGTTCTGATATCTACTCGTTCAAATTTTGAGTTAATACATATTTAGTTTCTTTCATTATACTTGTACTCTAGATTTAAGATAATGGATAGTAGATTAGTAAATACTTTAAAAAGAAAATCAGATCTAATATAAGAACTTTCTACCATTAGGATCATAATATACTCCTTTGTCAAGAAACTTATCTCAATATATTAGGAATTGACAAAACTTATTAAATATCAGAAATCATCTAATAAATAATGGTCTTTTAGTAAGAGTTTATAGTAAAATAAAATAATTCAATTGGTTACATTTTTATTAGCTAAAATGAGTTATAATCAGTGTATAAAGATTTTTTAATTGGTCTAAAAGAAAATAGTAATTTGAAATCTTTATAATATGATGCATTTAGAAAACTATGATATCAATTAACATTAGAGATTCAAATTATAAGTCAATATTTCAAATTGTCTTTAAGCTTTTCTATTATATAAAATAGTATAATATATACAAAATCAATTGTTTTTTTATACTAATTTCTATTAATCTTACCTAAAATCCTAATATGCTATAATATAATATGCTTTATCAATTACAAATTAAACCTTTTTTATTCATAAAGTTTTGTAATAAACTTGTGAAAGTCTTCATTAAATACTAGTTTTTTAAGCATAACAAATAATACCTTTATTAATTCACATGCTATTTCTTTAAAATTATTTTCTTGAATATGTGCTTCTTGTACTAAATTAGCATACAAAATAATACATAGAATATCTGATTTTATAAGTTCTCGTTAAATCAAAAAAATTATAAAAATATTAATATTAATAAATAAAAATAATTTTATTTATTAAATTCTAACCTTTTGATCATCTATAATTGCTTTGAGTAAACTAAATATAATAGTTAAACCTTCAAAACAAATGGCTGATATTATGTAATATAAGGTTTTTCCTTTACTAGTTTTTATAGATACAAATGTATTCTTACCACTCAAATATGCAATAATTGCTTCCATTTGTCCTTCTCGAAAATCATTAAGTTCAAAAATTTTTCAATAATAAGTAATATTAATGTTTTTATTTTAAGTATTTTTAGTTATTATCCTTTAAGTATATATTTGTTATTAATTAATTATTCTCATAAACCTGAATCTATATAAAATGAACAAATACCACACAAACCACATACACTTTTTTTTGCAAATGCATGACATGCAACACATTTTACTATTACATCAAAATCTACTAAGAGATCACCAAATGATAGTCAAAATATTTCTTTATGAATATGTTTAGGTATATTGTCTTTATAAGATACTAATTCCTATAATAAATATTTTAATTAAATATTGGATGAATAAATAGAATAAAGATATAATATTATATTATCTTATCAAAATTGAATCCAGCAAATTCTTTTCTATCATTAGAAAACTTTACTTTTCTTACTTCATTTCATTGTCGAATTGTACTATGATTTCTAATAACCTGTTAAGACCTTTCTTAAAAAAAATTCAATATATTACATATATCAAAATATCAGTAGCTATTGTATAAACTTTTGAAATTATAGTATTTAATCTATCATTTTTATTGATCATAACTAATGCATATTAAGCATTATATAAAACCTAATAATCAATTTATATATCTAAATATTTAAGGATTTTTCTATTAAAAGTTTTATTATGTGAAATATAAAATGTAGTTACAAGGCTTTAATTAAAAGATACACAAAAAATCATGATAATAATATCTTAAAAATTCTTAATTTTAGCTTTTATATAGTTGTTTAGGATCAGATTTTGTAATTGTAATTCTGGATTATTCTTTATTCAATAAACATCACTCCAATATATACTATAATCATCAAGTAAATGTTAAATTAAACCTTCTATTTTTACATATTATGTTTCCTTTTCAATTAATGTATTATCTTAATTCATCTTTTTTTGAAATCCAATATTAAATATATATGTATTAAAATATTTCATGATATATTGTTCAAAAGAATACCATTGGAAATAAACTTTTTTTACTATTAATATGAAATATAAAAAGTTATTAAATTATATAGTTCTAAATACAATAAATAATTAGTAAATTATTATAAAAATAATATACTAATAAAGATTCTTACAAATGTTCTTACTAACATATTTTAAATCAGCGAATATGTGACTTACTGCAAGAATATATACTAGAGTTCTGTTAGTTTCTAAATCATTATCTACACATACATGTAAAGTAAAATCAGTTTCTTTTAAAATAGGTATTATATCATTAAGTAATACAAGTAATATTGCATGTTCCATTTGTTTTGAAGTTCCATCAAAGTTTTTTCTATGAATTATTTTTGAAGAATTATTTTTAGAATTTTGTGTTGAACAAGAATTTTCTACTGTATGAAATCTGATTACAGATTGGTAATTATATCCTTATAAATAAATAATTTTATTCACTTACTAATTTTTTTTTAAAAAATTTCATACAACCATGTAGGTTTATATACTGGAAAGATCACCCAAATACAAAAACTCTCTGCTAACTTAATATGCATTATAGAAATGTGATCATAAACAATCAAAACCTACAGATAACACTTTTTTTGACCTGATAAATGAGTCAATTCCAATTAATCTAAAATCTCAAGTAAAATTATTTCACTATTGAATTTTGCATTGTCAATAATGAGTTTATACATGTATGTTTGATAATTATAATAAGACTTTTTATAATATTAGTTTGTTATTCTAATTGTTGCTAATAATGTTTGAAAAGAATTTCTATTTATTCCTTCAGTAAGTGTAGCCCCTACAACTAAATGAGAGTATTTTATTCCTTAATATTTATTTAAATATTGTGTTGATATTTTGCAAAAAAGGTATATAATAACACAAGATAAACTAAATCCTGATACTCTAGTATAAAATGTTTGATTTGATATAATAATATCAAGACAGTTGAGATAGAATAATGAAAGAAGAATAGAAATATATTATAAAATGCTTATAAAGATAACCAATTCCAATTTTTTTTTCTTCTATTTCCTATTCTACCAATTTTTGAATTTCAACATTATCTTTGACTTCTTTGTCTTTAACTTCTCTATTTTTAGCTTTACTATTTATTGAAATAATTTTTTTTAATATTTAATTATCTTTTTTCTAAAGTAAATTGTTTGAGCATATTTCATATTTTTTAACATTAAAACTTGTGTTATTTCAGGTAATAATACTTTTCCATTAGGTTCAACCTGAATTCCAAAAAGAATATTTTAATTATCACTATCATTATTATTTTTATATATAATATGATCAATTTTTTTTTGTCTTTTCTTTAAACTACGATGTAACGTTCTTCTTTTTTCTTTACATTTGTTTGATGTGAATTTTCTAATAAAGATATAATTGAAGTTTCTTATTGAAAAATAGTTAGATATTGTAAAAGGAACTTTTCACAAATAAGTCGTTGAAGTTTTATAATAACTTGAGAGTCACAAAGATCAAAAAATGATTGAAGTGAAGTATTTGAATTAAGACTATATTTTTTTAACAAATAATGAAATGCAAGTCGTTCAACATCTTATACTTTTTTTCAGTATATGATACATTAAAACCAAACTCTTCCTAAAAGAAAAGTAACTGTTTATTACTCTTTTAAATTAACAATTTAAACTGCTTTTTGCTTGTAAAAATGAAACTAATATTCAGATAATAATGGTATTAATTATTATTCAATTTCTTAGTTGTGGATGAATATATAACTAGCATTATGATTTTATTTCTCAGCTGTTAAAATATCTTTTATGGAAAAATCAAATGCTTTTACTTTATTGTATAGATCTAAAACACAAAGATTAGCAGAATAGTTGACTACCACTTAACTGCTATTTTCATATTTAATAACATATCGATTATCGAGATCTTAGATAACAAGTATTGTATATCATTTAGAAAGCATTATTTAATAAATAATATAATAAAATAGTTATTATTATAGTAACTAAGTTGATATTTAAACAAATTCTCTCTTTAAAAATCAAAAAAAAATCTTTTCTATAAAATCTTTTTATAAAATCTTTTAGAATTTTTTTTCTTTAAACCATTTTTATTCCTTCTCTTTTTTCCATTTTCAAAATTTTCACTTTTTAAAAAATTTAATATTTTTTTTATTTCAGCTTTTTCAATGTCTTCTATATATTAACTAAAACATAACTACTTGTAAATAAGGCATAGATAATGCATATATATAGCAAAATAAAGTGTTTTCAAATAACTTATATGTTACTTCACATTTTCACTAATACAGTTTTTTTCATTCAAAAAAACTCCACTCATTTGAAAGTTGCTATATCTTATTTTTATTATTTTAAATATAAATAACTAAACAGTATAAGTTTTCTTACATAAACAATAACTACAGGTTCTTAAAAGGCTGTTAGTAGTAACGTAAAGTTTTCTTTGGCATTCTTTAAATAAATTTGGTTTAATACAAAAATTATATAGCATTTAGATAATAATCTACTAATATAAATGATCAATATATACTCTACCCTTAATTCAGAAGGAATAGATGAAATACTACGGTATTATAAATAGATGCAAAGATTATTATTATATGAGCAAATATGTTAATATATATGTGCAGGTAATATCTACTGATATTATTTATATATTTGCAATCAGTTAGTAATCTTTACTTTTAATATATCATCATACTACTTTATTATGAATGGAATTTTATACAAAGAACTTTCTAATGAAGCATTATATTTTATAATAAATCCTTTTTCTGAAGAATTTTTGGAAATTCTATATCTATCTAATGATAATTCTAAGGGGGTAAATTTACTAGTAGAATTCTAGATTTATTGCAGAGAAATACCTCCTGAAAAAAATACTTATTGCTTGAATGTAAGTAACACTTTCATAAAAAAATTATAAATAAATATATATAAAAAATTATTATATTTTTTAACTATATTGTTATATATTTGCATTTTTATGATTTTTATGGATGATATTAAAACTCAATCTTTAATAAAATTTTATTTTAAAGCTTTAAATGATTATATTAAAACTCAATCTTTAATAACCTCACATAAAGCTTTAAATGATAATCTCAAGGATGGTCATGCAGAAATTTGATTACAATATAAAAAACTTTTATTGTGATAGTGTAATGAATATAAACATATATATAATAGAAATAAATAGTGCTGTCCTTGCAATGTAAAGCATTTTATGCAATATAATTCAGAATAGACAAGCTTGCAATCTGATATAGATAACTTAATTTTCAGAACTCAAATAACTGCAAATAATATTTATAAGTTTTTTAAATAGATTCTATTCAAAGATTTTGAAGATATTACCTATTTGGTAACAGATGGATATAATACTATTTATAAAACTATATGAAAACAAAATCCAATAAATTGTTAGGATACTAATGCTAATAGCTGGAAATGATCTAACAATTGTGAAGTAGTATTGAAATAATAAATGGATCTTAATATAATGTTAATAAATTTATTAATAAGGTAAATTAACATTAAAAATTAATTGTCAGAACTGGTTTTTGTTATTTAGATAATTGTTAACATTAACATTAACATTAATATTAAAAAATAAAAAATAAAATTATTCACTAAATATTGCTTACACTTAATTAAATAAATTAAAATTTTTACATATAGCTCACAGCTCACCACAAATTCAATATAATAGTTAGACATATACTTTATTACTTTAGAATTTCATATTAAAAAGGTATAAGTAACTTTATAGTTGTAACATCATACACTAAAGATGAAAACTTATGATAATATATCTGTAAGAATTCAGAAAAATTTCCATAGATTAAACGTTTAATTGCACTTAAAGACATTACTAATGGACTTAAAATTATTTATAATTCTAGATATATTCATCATGATTTGCATGCAAGTAATATCTTGAGAGATGAAAGTTTGACAATGATAAGTGATTTTGAGCTTACAAATCCTATGTTAAAGCATTAAACAGGTGATTTATTTAGAGTATTACCATATATAGCCCCCAAAATTCTACACGATGGTCAATATTCTTTAGCATCTGATATTTATAACTTTGCAATGATCATATACAAAATTGCAAGTAGAGGAATCTCATTCCATTGTGATAACTAGAATTATTATTTTATTTGTAATATTTGTTATGGGTTATAACTTGAACCATCATTAGCTAATTCTTTTTATTTCATTGAATTAATAAAATTATATTGGGATTCTGATCCAAAAAAGAGGCTAATTGCTAGTAACTTTGTTATAAAGTTTAATGATTAGATTCACAGTAAGTAAAAAAATCCAAATATTTATAGCTTCTTTCAAGAGTTGAGTTTGAGTGAATTCATTTAAAGGAAACTAGTTGTATTAATGACAGAGTTTTTATTGATAAAATGTGTACTAGTAAATTTCTTCTCTTATTTACTTTCACATTATTTGATAATACTAATAAAATGTATACTGACAAATCAAACTTAGCACTTTCTATTAGAGGTTAATTTTGATTTTTTTTTTGTGAATTGTAATATGCAAGACAATTAATATTTATTTATTTAATATTTATAGTACAAACTTAACAAGAGTTTAATATTTTAAATATAGATATTGAAAATAAAAAATCTACAAATCATCTGTTAAAAGAAATTACATTATCATAAAAATTTCTATTCTTTGTGACTTTATGAAACTTTAATGGTAAGTGAAATGATTGTAATTTTTCTTAATATATTTTTTGACATAGTTATAAAATCTTTATTTAATAGGTGAAGATATCAGAAATTTAAGTTTTAAAAAAGATGATTTTATAAAAGTGATCAAATATAGTGAGTTTTCTAATATTAATTAGATATTTGTAATATGCTGATGATTTTTAAAATTGGATTCAAAATTTAGTAAATATGGATTAGTAAAAAGGTAAAGTTTAAGAATAAATAAATTGGAATATTTTCACAGATATATACAAAAATTTTGTAAGTAGTAATATTAATAATTATTGAATAGAATCAAGAAATATTTAATACAAATTTATATTCTCTTTATAATCCAGACTAATTATTACTAATAAAAATGAAGTAGCAGAATATGAAAAGTTTATGAATTATCATTCAGAATGAAAATCAAAAAAAATTACATTATCTTATAAATTTCTATTTGCTATAGCTTTGTAGAACTTTAATGGTAAGTGAAATGATAATTATTTCCTTAATATTATATATATTTTGAAATTCTTTTTAATAGATAATAATATCAGAGATTTAAACTTTAAAAAAAGTAATTTTATTGAGCTAGTTGAATATGGTGAGTTTTTTAAATATAACTGAATATTTAGAGTATAATAAAATATATTGATTTTCTAATTGAATTCAAATTTAATAAATATGGATTAGTGAAAAGGTACAATAAATAAAATTAAAATATTTTCAAAGAAATACACAAGAATTTTATAAGTTATAATTAATATTATTTAATAAAAATAATCAAGAAAAAATGTAATAAATTATAATTCTATTTTATTATATACTCTTTATGTTAGACTAATTGTTAATAATAAAAATGAAGTAGAAGAATATGAAAAGTCTATATATAATAAGTCAGGGTAAATATCAAAAAAAATTGCATTATCATATAAACTTTCATTTATTATAACATTATAAGACTTTAATGGTAAGTAAAATGATTGTTTATTTTTCTTAATATATATATATATATATATTTTTTTTTAGGGATCGGCATCCCTAGTTCAGTTGGTAACAACTGAGCTCCTATTGTGGGTTACACTGCAATAGCCACAGGTTCAAGTCTCAGCCGAGGCATAAAACTAGATGATTTTCATTAGAATTTCATATGTAACTGAATATGTGGGCGTATATACTAATATGCGTTAGAAACTGGTCGATCGACCTGTCGATCGATGTTAATCATGCCTAAATACTGAAATTGCAGAACAAGTGGATGCAAATGAAGCCAGGGATCAACAGAAACTTGGCCTTCGCTGATAGGCCTGTAATGGGTACTGTCTCACGTCTTCAATTTTAGGAGCCCTTACACAAGTAAGAAAGTGATTAACCAGTAATTAGTAGATTGGGTACTACCTACAGGTGGCTAGGGTGATAATAGACTGCATTGCACTGCCGCAGCACCCTCCAATCGAGCTATCATTAGGGGTAGAGGCCAGGTTCAATTCCTGTATGAATTTGACGATATGGGTACGACAGCCACCTACCTTTCTGAGGTTCTATAAGATGAACAATATCTAAGCCTTTCCGATTATATGTAAATATACCCTGATACCGGGCAGAGGTAATAGTATCCAGATATGATGTTGATAAATACAGGGAAAAATTGACAAAAGTACCTGTGGTTGAAAGTGATCCCTCTATCCATATTTGACAGTGGTTCTGAGGTCTAGGGACTCTGAGGGCTAGCTCTTGGGAATGTTGACCTAGGTGGTAATCTTCAGACCAGTATTACAGGGCGGATTCTGGCTAGAACTATGTGTCTAGTCACGACTTTGGGGGATTCTCAAGTGTAGAGGGTAACACCTTAATACTCCGTTTAAAGATTCCTATGTACCAGATACTATAACTTAAAAAAAAAAAAATATTTTTTAAATGATAAAAAAGATTGGCATCCCTAGTTCAGTTGGTAACAACTGAGCTCCTATTGTGGGTTACACTGCAATAGCCACAGTTTCAAGTCTCAGCTGAGGCATAAAACTAGATGATTTTTATAAGAATTTTATATGTAACTGAATATGTGAGCATATATACTAATATGCGTTAGAAACTGGTTGATCGACCTGTCGATTGACGTTAATCATGTCTAAATACTGAAATTACAGAACAAGTAGATGCAAATAAAACTAGAAATTGACAGAAATTTAGCCTTCGCTAATAGGCCTATTATGAGTACTGTCTCACATCTTCAATTTCAGGGGCCCTTACACAAGTAAGGAAGTGACTAACCAGTAATTAGTAGATTGTGTGATATCTCGAGATAAACTTAAGGTGATTATGGTTGATAATAAATTGCATTGCACTGCTACAGTAACCATCTAATCGAGCTGTCATTTGGGATAGAGGCCAGGTTCAATTTCTGAGTGTGTTTGACGATATAGGTATGACAGCCATCTACCTTTCTGAGATTCTATAAAGATGATAATATCTAAGCCTTCCCGATCATATGTAATATACCCTGATACTAGATAAAGGTAATAGCGATTCTGATTGTGTTGATAAAGACAGGAAAAATAATCAACTAAAAGTACTTGTGGCTAAAAGCGATCCTTCTATCCAAATTTGACAGTGGTTCTAAGATCCAATAACCCTAGAGATTCTACTCTTGGAGATCGCCTGGGTGGCAATCCTTAGACCAGTATATCAATGGGATTAGGGCTGATAATTGAGTTAATCAAGATCTTCTCAGTAATGTATCAGCATAAGTAAGGATTCACATGACTTATGCGTATTGTTCCTTAGCCATATAACCTCCCTGGTATATCGAATACTGAAAAAAAAAAAATTTTTTAAACGATAAATTTTAATATATCTGCTATATATAATTTGATTGGTTGATCTGTCAGGTCAGTTTATCTGACCTGACCTGACGTGATTCAAAAAAGAAAATTTTTCTTATTTATTCATTAAATAATATCAAAAAATATTTAAAATAAATAATAATATAATAAACAATTATTAATTTATTTAATCAACTTTGTTATTTCTAATTTAACGATAATAAATTATTCAAGAAAAATGATTGGTTAACCTGAATTTTTATCAGATCAGGTCAGTTCAGTTCGATCTGTTGACCCGACCTGATATCAAACTGAAAATCTATTAACCTGACCTGAATTTTTAGGTCAGTTCGGGTCAGGTAAACAGGTTGATCTGACCTGATTTAGAACTCGACTCGCAGATAATTAATACAGTATGTTATTTTTGATATAGTTAGTTTTTAAATCAAAACAAATTTATGTGTTAGAATAGAATGTCTGATTTTTGGCATACATGAAGTTAGTGGCAATTTGCAATATTCTACTATAATTTTCAAAATTCCAATTTTTTTACGCGTTTGCACTATGGATTTATAATATTATATTAACATAATGTAAGGATAAATTGAATTTTCAATAAGGTGGATTAATTTAAAAATTCTTAAAAAAGTCTTTTACCAAACAACTTTTATATATTTATTCTCAAGACTAATATTTTCATTTTTGTAGGTGATAAATACTATGACAATTTTAATATGCATAGTGAAATGAATTATATCAAAAATTCTTTGAATCAATAATAGCAACCATGACAGGAACAACCTGATCAACAACCAAAAATTGGATGTTCTACACTATAGTTTTCTAGTTTTTATTCATGCAATAATTATTTAATTAATATCAATTTTATTTAATAATTGTTAGATACAATGTGATAGCATCCTTAATTATCTTCGTAAAATAATAACTTCACATTCTTTTAAAAAATATCGTCAATAAGCTTCAACATTAAGCAATGTTGAAGGCAGTTTCATATTATCAAAATTTAACGAATTTGTCAATAAATATAAGATCACACATCAATTGGTATCAGAAGTTAAGAAAGCGTTTGATGTATTTATCGATTCATTAAATCAGTATTTTGATCTTATTGAAGATATTACCAATGAAGATATTGAATCAACTTTTGTTAAATGGTATACTCATGTAACTGTTAGAGGAACTGGCATTGTACAGGCTAAAAGCAATTATTACAATGCATCCGATTTTAGCAATGTAGTAGTTAATATGAATGAGAAAGAAGTTGAAAGTTATAATACAGTTGATGAAACATATTTTGCTAAAGTAAATTAGTATTATTGAATTTGTATTTTTTAAAAAAATTCAATATTTATAAATCTTTAAATATCATATTGATTTTAGCTCTTAATGTTGTTCAGTTTAAAGATATCCAGTTATAAAGAACAAGAGTTAGCATTAGTTCAATGGTATGAATTTAAATATAATAATTCATACAGACTATTCAAATATAATTACTCACATATGAAAAATATTTTAATGTTTACTATTATAGCTTTCGATTCTATTACTGAACTAGTTCATGTTATTTCACATTTTAACAAGACTAATAAATATTTTATCAACTTATTTATTTTTTAAATAGTTTATATTAAAATAATTGTAAAATGTATTATCTTTAATTATAAT